TCCTCCTCGCCCTTGTTGGTAGCCTTGGAACTCGTGCCTCGGTTGGTAGCCTTGGAATTCGGGCCTCGGTTGATATGGTCAGTATTGAGGGGGTGCATAAGCTTGAGGCGAGGCATAGGCTTGAGGTGGTGTTGGTTGAGGTGCATAGTTCGCCTTCGGGTCCCTCCAAGAGAAGTTAGGGTGATCCCTCCACCCGGCATTGTAGGTGTTCGAGTATGGATCATTTTGAGTCCGGGGAGCATAACCTTGCACGACCTTAACATCAAAAGGGACCGTCACAACATTCGGGTCATAAACCGGCTTCATATAACGTGGACACTCATGGCCTCCATGCCCCGTCTCTCCACAACATCCACACACCTCCACCATAACTACTTGGGTCGACTTTGCATCACGAAAGCGAAGATGTTTGGGCTCCTCCTCCAATGAGGCTAACATAGCCAAAACGGCATCATTAGTCGACCTGGGTGATTGTGTAGCCTCATTCACGGTAGTCCTCTTTCACACGCTCTTCCTTTGAGAATTTTCACTCAACATCTCGTACAACTCATAGATCTCTTCGGTCGTGTGACTTCCGATATCTCCCCCGGCCGCATGGTCCACCATGTATTGGAGAGTTTGGTAGAGCCCATCATAGAAGAATTGATTCAACACGCCCAAGGAAAAATGATGATGTGGGCATTGGAGTTGATAGCCCTTGAACCGCTCCCATGCTTCGTGAAAGGTCTCGCCCGGGTTTTGGCTAAAGCTAGCCATTTGTGCTCGAAGATCGGTTGTCTTTTGATGCGAATAATGTTCATGAACTTCTCGTAGACGGCTTCCCACGTGTTGAGTGAGTTCGGAAGCAATGTCATAAACCAAGTCTTGGCCCGATCTTTCAAGGTATAGGGGAAACATCTCATGCGAAGTTGGTTTTCGGTTAAGCCTTGGAGAGAGAAGGTGTTGACCGTGGAGTAGAAGTCTCGGATGAAATTGAGGGCATCTTCTTGTGCAAGGCCATAGAAGGAAGGAAGTTGGTTGAGGTGGATCGTCTTGAGGTCATAGTTTCGAGCCGCCTCCCCGAGCACACGGCACGAAGTGTTGTCTTCAATGACTGGTCGTGAAAAGTACCTCATGTTCGGGGGTGGTTGTGGCAATTGATCTCTTTGTCCTGCCATTGGTTCGGGTTCGGGTTCCAGTTGTGGCTCGTCTATGTTATGATCAACGAAGAGATTTAACGGTGGAGTCTCCTCTCGGATTGCTCGCTTCCGTCTACCTCGCATAAACACAACCAACAGCTATACCCGTGAATGCACCAATGGGAAGCAAGAGCAAAAACACAATCAATAAGCACAAATTATTTACAAAAGCAAGAGAAATCAAGAGAAATACGAAAATTAATCAAAGTTCACAAAAATCAAGAGAAACACATGAAAATTGGACAATCAAGTAATAAACTAGGCGTCCTACTTGCCTTCCCCGGCAACGGCGCCATTTGTTTAGTAGTATTTTGTGGGTAGTTGGTAACCGAGCTACCCGACCTCGAATCGTTCTCAAAGAAGACGGTTCGGAGCTTTGTTCACCACTTAATTGTCCAAATCACACAAAATGAGAAAATAAAAGCTAAACATGCTAATCAATGGGTTGGAGAGTGAGTTAATGCTAATCGATGCTCGGTATTGAAAGGCAACAAGTAAACTAGAGAATAAAACAATTCACACTACCGGAGTCTCTATGCCATCGACACTAAATGAATTCAATGACGAACAATATGCGAGTTCTAAGCACTAGGTCACTAACCCTAACCTTCTAACCTAAGTGATTAAGCTCTAAATAGAGTCCTAACACTTAATCTAGATAGACAAGTGATTAGTCCCTACTAAAACAAGCAAGAGCAATGATCAAGTCCAAACTTCCCATTCATCATCCAACAAACACTCAAATTCACCTTGATAATCATCATAAGTAAAAACGAGGCAAAAACTGAAGTAATGAGCTTTAAAAGTAAATACCCAATCTTCTATTGCGTGCTAGACGAAAATCGAAGTAAAAAGCTCGGAACTTGAACAAAATAAGAGTCGCCAGAAAACACGTTGGAAAATGATGTCATAGAGCTCCCAAGAGAGAGAAGAGAGAAAACTAAAAAGAAAAGAAAAATTCCTAAAGAGGAAAAGTGACAAATGGAATCTAGATGATGCAATTACAAAGGACCAAAATGTATTTATAGTCTAGCCCAAAACACAAACTAATCTCATGCACATTTACTAAGAGACATTCTCGAGCTCGCGGGACAATTCGCTGGTCGCGGGCATGGAAGGCACGGAGGTGGCACGAGGACGGCGCGAGGCAAACGGGCACTCTCGAGCTCGAGGCAGGATCCGCGCGCGCGGATGTGAGTTGGAAGAATACTCTCGATATCGCGAGTGTTGCCGAGGTCGCGGGCGCGAGGAGAAGGTGCTCTCGAGTTCGCGGAATAGGCAGCGAGATCGCGAGTAGCATCTAGGCAGCGGCACTCTCGGCGTCGCAGGGGTCTTCGCGTGTTGCGGGCTCCTGGGAAACAACATCTTGCGTCCGCGAGGCGCGGGCTTTGGCTCGTGGTCGCGAGTGCGGCCTATTTTTGAGGATTGGTCGGAATGGCTCGAAATACTCGGATTAGAAATGGCTCATACGAAATGGCTCGAAACTTCTCGAAAGTGACTCGGAATACTTTGAAAAAGACTCGTCTCTCGGGACTCGGTTCGACTCTTCACTTCATCCACGGAATAAACCTGAAATACACCCAAAAGCACGGAAAAGTATGCCAAAAATAGAACAAAGAGAAAGACAAAGAAAATACACGAAACACGATAAAATAGACCGGCTGACACTAAAACGAACCTAAAAAGACTAAATTACAACACATAAAATACAAGAAAATAAGCACAAAAATACAATAAACAGTGCTTCAAAAGTTTTTCAAATATTCATATTTTTAAGTAAATTACCTATTAAAAAGAATAATTCTAATAAAATATTGACAAAGGATTTATATAATATGATGTTTCCAAAATTATTTTTGGTCATCCCAAATAGCAAGAATAAACCAAAAAAGAACAAATAATTTAATTATTTATTTACCTGTACATGTAATTAAGTATCTTAGCCTTGAAGTGTTTTTGGGCACAAATGGCACGAGTTGAGAAAATCGGCATCTGAAACTCTGGATATTGTTAAAAAGCATAATTCTACGAAAAAAAAAAAAAACTTTTGAAGCATTGTACAATTGTTGAAATGTATTATCGAATATTACACATTTCTAATTTTTCGTTTGTAATATTTTAATTAGTTAATTAAAAATGTAGCAAAAACTTTAATTATCTCATAGATAAAATTAATTTAGGTAATTTTTTAATAATTTAATATTAGAAAGAAGCTATAAGAATACCTATTAAATATAAGATATCACAAAATAAAAGCAAATAAAAATATTTTTTAATTTTATTTTCATGTATATTGTATCCTTATTCATAATTAAAATTGTTTATAAATAGTTATAATTAACAATTATATATATATTCATAATCTTGTAATAGAATTACTTAACAATGTATTTACATTAATTAATGTGTATATAATAATTTATATAACAAAGAAGAGCATAACAATATAAAATATAAGAAAATTTTCAAAACTAGTCCCACAGGTTCAGTGACACACCACGTGTGATTATTGTTGCCAGCGTGTTAAGAAAAACGTCACTTCTGCGCCACATGGCTTTTCGGGCCTTTCGGGCCCGAAATCACATCAAAATGCCTACTTTATAAAGCTGTCAAATAATTTGTGACTTTCACTATCTTGCTAGACCAAAAATGGCATTCCCCTCAACGTGTGGAATTAGTTTTGATTTTTTTCCCAGAATCACATGCGTGCATATTTTGTAAAACATTTATACACATATTTTATTCAAAATTTTTTACATAATTTTAAATTAATTATGTTAATAAATAATATTAATGAACGTTAAATATTTTTCATTACATAAAATAAAAGGAAAAAAACTGCTTCTATAACTTTTACAAATAATAACGATAATAATATTACATAACAATAAATTTTAAAATGAAAGAGCTAGCTTGATAATTAATGGAAAACCCATGAGTGGTGATGAGTTCTTTTAGGACGTGCCGCCTGGTTTCCAGATTAGTTTAATAATCTCTCTCTTTTATTGCTTTTATACATTCAATTAATACGAGAAATTCACGATTTAATTAACACTCTTCGTGGGATCGACTCTTACTCGTCACTTCTACTAGTTAGTATAAGTTAGTTAAGGAAAATATAAATTTTAATTTGCCGCGTTACGACGCGTGATCAGTAACTTTCACTATCTTGCTAGACCAAAAATGGCATTCCCCTCAACCTGTGGAATTAGTTTTGAATTTTTCCCATAATCACATGTGTGCATATTTTGTGAAACATTTATACAAATATTTTATTCTAAATTTATTTACATAATTTTAAATTAATTACGTTAATAAATAATATTAATGTACATTAAATATTTTTCATTACATAAAATTAAAGAAAAAAAGACTACTTTTATAACTTTTACAAATAACAATGATAATGACAATATATAACAATAAATTTTAAAATGAAATAATATCTGAGTATTATATGGTGAACAGAGTAAGTAAAATTAATATTTTTTCTTATTTTAATTAATAAATATATATATATATTAAATTTATATTAATATAAACATATTAGCGGATTAATAAATTAATTAAATTACATACTAGCCCTAATCCTAACAGACTCAGATTTAAGGTTGTAGCTAAAACAAACAATACTCATTATAAAAACAGGTACACTCATTTAATTATAAGTATCAAATTTTTCGCACTTAAATTTAATTTTAAATCGGGTAAACCTTGATTAACACTCAACAAACCCTATTTAGCAACCCCTTTTAGCTCCCTTATATATAACTTTTTTTGCCCTAGTTCTCTACTTGTAAAAAAGAGCTATCTTGATAATTAATGGAAAAAGCCATGAGTGATGATGAGTTCTTTGAGGCCGTGCCACCAGGTTTCCAGTTTAGCCCTAGAGATGACGAGCTTATCCACTACTTATCTTTGAAGATCAACAACGAAAGTCTGCCTCGAACCAAGATTCATGACGTCGAATTTTACAAATTCGATCCTGATATTCTTGCAGGTGATCATATTTTGATTTTTCCTTTTGCTTGTTATTTAATTGTGTACACTTCTTTTATGAATTTGTTCTTTCTAATTTCTTGAAAAAATTTAATATGGCGTTAAAATCAACCGTACGTGAAGATCATTTAATTTATATCTTGGAGTTTGGTTCTATAGAAAAATATTCGCTGATTTTTCAGTTTTATATATTAGTTAATGATAGTTTGCCTCGTATAAGGTGTTTAGTTTTATTGGAAAATTCTTTCAAGTGTTTGTTATTAATTCCCGTCGAGAAAGCATGCATGAGTAAACTTGCGTTCTTTTAATACAGTATTCTACTATTTATTTGTTTCTAATTACGTACTTTATATGTATATGGCCATCATAATTATTATTATTACTATTTATAGGGTAAGTAGGGTTTATCTTTTAGGAGTTACGTTAAATTCATTCATGGGGGAGAGTTTAATCATTAAGCATATAGATGGAGAAAATTTGATTTGCTGTTTTCTGGGTTTTCAATAACCAATCATGACAATTTTTATTTTTCTAGTATAAAAACTAAAAATCAAGACAATTTTTTTCTTCTTTTTGGTGTAATTCATGCAGAGATGTACAAACCGAGTGGGAAGAACCAATATTGGTACTTTTTCACCAAAAGGCAAAAGAAATACAAAAGTGGGTCAAGGCCCAATAGGGTCGCCGGTAATGGATATTGGAGGGCCTCCTGTGCCAACAAGCCCATCATACACAAAGACAAGGAAATCGGGCTCAGAAAGTCGTTGGTTCATTACAGGGGAAAACCCGGTAAACATACTAAGACGGGTTGGATAATGAACGAATTCCTAATTAAAGGCGAGGTAATTAATTTTTATTTTTCTATTTTATTTTATTTCATTTATGTTTCATTTATATATAGTTCTCTATAATTATTGTGCTGAAAGGAATCCCATAATATTTGCAGGAGGACAATTGGGCCATCTGCAAGATGTCCAAGACTGGCAAAGCGGGAAAAGGGCCCAAAGGAAAAGCAATTATCGACGAGAATAAAGATTCCAATACAAATAAAGTCATATTGCCCGACCTGTCCTCCGAGCCCAGCCCAACATCGAGCCCACAAATCCAAGCTACACATTTTCCAAGCCCAATGGATGCATATCAGCCCATACTCAATGTGCCTTCCTTTGATCATGAAACTGGACTTTTTCCCGGCTTGCAGCCCTGTATGACGAGCTCTGATTTTAGAGATGAGTTTTCGGATTCCATGAGGTTTTTTGGTCCTCAGATGTATTACGGCGAGCAAACGAGTTATATTAATGCTGCGGGTCCCACAACCTTTATTGCTCCTCCTCCTTCAGTTGATCATTGTGCAATGAAGTGTGGGCCGGCATCGGGCCTTGAGGACATAGACGAGCTGATCCGTCAGACATTGGGCCCGCAATGCGGGTTGATGGGTGATGATGTTAAATGGGCCTCTACATTTGATGAGATGTTCAAAGGTTGTATTTGAGTATTTTATAATAGTATATGGTGTAATTAGCAGACTAATTAAGTTGTCTTGAATCTTGATGATTGTCCCTTTAATTAAGGTGTGTTTCTCTTTTTTGTTGAGAACCAGAGACTCTTACAAAACTACTATATTATGAAAATGAAATAGAAAGTTTTATTCAATTATTGGGTTAATTACACATAGACATATATGTACATACATTATGATCATAATAACTTAGAATATTCCTCAATCAACACTCATAAAGAATTAGCCACCCCATGGACTTTGATCTCTGCTTCAACAATGCATACATCTTTCAACACCAAACCCGAAGACAACATATTAAAATAGCTCCTCGAAACAAATCTTGGCCAGCCGCATGTCGAGTTAGACGAACTGAACCAGTAATTAGCTGCACACAAAAAAAAAATAATAATATAAATTCATATATATCCTCAATAAGGCCGAATAAAGACGGTAAGTAAAAATGCTCGTGAGTTTGTTTTTACCGGTTCCAAAGTAATGGTTGCGATTAACTTGATCTAATATGCGCAACGTGAATTCCGCGTATATTTTGCATGCCGGAAGCAAGTTTTGAGGCTCGGCTAAAGTCAGATACAGAGATATGTAGTTATCGACACCGCTACCTTTTCCCCGAGGATAAATTTGTATTTTCCTATATAAAAGATGAAATTAATTACAAAATCGAATAAACGGTAAAATGTAACTAACTAACTAAATGTACCATTTCCTATCGGCAGCAATGAATGGTTTGGAGTCGACACATTCCTCCGATAAACCGGAAAAACTTCCGATTCTCCAAGTGTTTTTGTAGATGATTGGATCTTTTACCATCGACAAAGACTCTCCTTTTCCGGTGAGTTTTTCGAGACACACATAAACCTCTGCCCCAAATACGCAACTGTCATCCACCAAATATCCATTCGCAGGGTCCTTAAAGGTTGCTAATGGCAAAAACTTATCAAAACCGCATTCGGGTTTCATTTTGTGAAATCGCCTCCCGTTTCTAACCGTATCTAAAATAAAAAATAAAAAAATAAAAAAATAAAAAAGTAAAAAACGACTGTTTAATAATATAGTAATAATTTTAGGATTCAAGTATTTTGCATGCCTTGAAGAGTCAAGTAAGCATCTCTGTTCTGATCGAGCAGGAAAAGTCGAAAAACTGCTCGGATTTCCCAGCCTGGCCCGAGTGAATTTGATTCTTCACTAATCATCAAGTAGATGGATAAGTGATCATTAATGTCTTTATTTTTGTTTCCATTTGGGTGAACTACTAACTTCCTGCCATGTAATTGTGTAAACAGAGTTAATATCTTTTGTTCTTTTACATAATGTACTATAGCGAATTTTTTATGATCAAATTAGCTAACCATTTGTAGCCTCCGGCTTCGAATTCGCTTGACGTGTATTTATCAATGTTGTTCTTGGCGAGCAGCGAAAACGACTGGATTTTGAGGCCATAGTGATTGGGTGGTGTATCTGAAATCGATCTCGAAACGCCTAGCAGAAAAAAAAATGAAAAAAAAAAGGCGAAAATCGGGTACGTAAATCACGATAATAAATAATCATAATGTGATTGGAATGGGTAAGATATAACTAACCATCTTGGTCAGAGAATGAAAGATCTTCCATGGGAGGAACAAAATGTTTATGAGAAAGTGATTGATTGAAAATTTGTAATGTAGTACGAGGATGTTAGAGCTTTTAAAGATGAAAAATGATTATTAGTGGCCAAAGAGCTTAATGGAGTTTAATATCCTTTGCTTGATTCTGATTTGTTTGTCCCCACAAGAAAAACAAGGTATTGCCAATGGCCATGGTTAATCCTTTCACCACTCTATCCAAGAAGCAAAACTCATCACCAAGTTTCTTGGGTAGT